ATGCATTATCCATCCATCCATCCATTTTCGTCCGCTTATCCGGGGCCGGGTCGCGGGGGCAGCAGCCTAAGCAGGGACTCCCAGACTTCCTTCACCCCAGACACGTCCTCCAGCTCCTCCGGGGGGACCCCGAGGCGTTCCCAGGCCAGCCGAGAGACATAGTCCCTCCAGCGTGTCCTGGGTCTTCCCCGGGGCCTCCTCCCGGTGGGACATGCCCAGAACACCTCCCGAGGGAGGCGCCCAGGAGGCATCCGGAACAGATGCCCGAGCCACCTCAACTGGCTCCTCTCGATATGGAGGAGCAGCGGCTCTACTCCGAGCTCCTCCCGTGTGACTGAGCTCCTCACCCTATCTCTAAGGGAGCGCCCAGCCACCCTACGGAGGAAACTCATTTCGAGCGCTTGTATCCGCGATCTTGTCCTTTCGGTCACTACCCAGAGCTCATGACCATAGGTCTGATGCATTATTATTATTATTATTATTATTATTATTATTTGTAGAATTGGCAGCTACAGTACACGTTCTAATTAAAGGTCCTATATTACGCAAAATGTACTCTTGTGAGATTTAGCCGTGCTATAATGCTGTCACTTCATCAAAAATGTGCCTGGTGTTGCTTTATTCACACGTTTAACTAATCCTGCATTATTAGTCTGTCTGCATTCCCAAAAATTAAAATGCTCGATTCCACCTTGTGATGTCATAAAGCATACGTTTTCAAGTTCATTTTCAGCTCCTTTTATCTTTTGTTCAGTAGAAATGGACAATTCCAGGGCTGAAATGATCCAGGATAATTCTAGTGAAAGTGTATGAAGTTTAAAACTACAGTGGAGAATTTCTTGTATTATCACATGACATCACAATTTGGTGTTTTCAGTCTGAGACAAGGACTCAGCCTAAGTATGCAGGGTTTATGTGTTAAACATTTATGAATGAAACAAAACACAACTTTGGGTATGTCTGTGATGAGGAAACATTTTTTATTTAGGCCATAACATATCACACCTGTTACCAAACTAGTACAAAGTCTAGCAGAGATGGAGCTATTTAGGACACATACGTTTGTGTCAGACAATATGTCGCAGACAACTTTAGTCTGAAGCCAGTGATCAGAAATTCAAGTCTGTCATCATGAGATTTTTTGGTTGTTGTTTTTTGCTAGACATTTTACAAGGGTGAAATCCAATCAGGGGCTCCACTGGCTAGGCTGGCTGATTAAATGTCATCACGGCTAATTTACAGCAGTTCACCTGTCACACCGAATGCTCTTTTGATTAGAGCAATTAGGCGCTTACCAATGGCTTTTAAGTGTCTAAAGACCTGCCACTTAGACCACATGGAATTTGTACAAGCTGCATATGTTCCTACGCAATTAGCCCTGCCAGTCCAATGTCCTCATTAAGCATTGTGCATGTTTCTTACAACAGAGTTCATGTGCTAGGACATGTTCCTTCCGCCCGTTGGCAAGTCTATCTGATTTATAATGTTTTCCTTACTGTAGTCATTTGTGTGCGGATGTGTGGCTGTGTGGGTGATATTCAAATTTCAAGGTTCAAGGCATAGGCACAGAGAAGACTTATTGTTGTCCAAGAGCTTGTTTATGCTTGTTATACAATTTCCACGGGGAGAGAGGTTCAGACCTTGGGCCCATTTGTAATCATTTCTTTCTCAGTGGAGGGATTCTTGTGTGTAAGTACATGCATGTACTGTGGATCACTACAAATAAGGTAGGAGTAACAGTGTAGATGAGCAGAGGCAGGAGGAGGTGGAAGTGGTAATAAATAAGCCAAACAAACGCAGTGGAGGTGGTCCATGGGTCTTTATGGGGTTAGTTATGATGATAGATGGCAGAGGTGCTGGTGGCTTTGTTTGCCTGCATAGGAGCTGTGAAACAATGTGGAATGTACGGCACAAGAATGAGAATGTACCAACAGTGAGCTTAGTTTTTACATTGAGTAGTAAATGTAAAGTGTAATGTAATGGCCTTGAAGTTCATCGATCATTAAAAACACATCAAATATTAATAGAAAATCACATTATCTTGCTACTTTTGTGTTCATTTTCCAAAAGGCAGACATATAAAATACATTAAATGTGTTTTTGCTTCTAGGTCTGGTTTTATTATACAAGTTATCCTCTTTCCTTTAGGCTTTTCCCTTCTGGGGTTGTTAGATCACATCCAATAAGCCCATGCCTTCTAGTGCTTTGCAGATGGATTTGCCATAGGTTCTTTGCATATTATGTTTTACCTTGTTTAACCAAGATAAAAAAAATAAATAAATAATGTTTCAAGATATATGTGACTGAATGTTGTTTTGTTATTATTGTTTATTACTGTGATATGATAATTTCATGAAAAGGATTAAAAACTATATTTCATTTATAATGTAAATTTCAAGTAGTCTGAACACCTCGTTTTGTGAAATCGACTTGTCCTTTATTGAAAAGTTAATACTGTAGCAGTGAGCTATTTTTATACTCATATTCATCATTTCTGCAAGTTTCTTTTATTTTATATATCTTTCTGAGAGCTTAAAAACACAAAAGTACCTGATATTCTAATCTTGCATTTGCATTTTTTCAATATAAAATGTGTATGTCATCTTAGATAATGTGTCATCCACCTCTAGATGTAGACATATGACAGTATTATGCTTATGAGCAGTTGACTAAAACTGTACACACATTCCTCAAGAATAACCATAGCCTTTTTTGTATGTAACACCAATCTATTGCATTCTGAATATTTTAACTTGTTCTACTACATTAATACAAATGTACACCAGCACAACTGTTACCCTAAAATATAATGCTGATATTCCCCTCCCCTGCTAGACAACTTTGTGCAAATATGTTCTATTTTCAGCTGGATCCCACTAAGAGCTGCACGGGGCCAATACTTGCATCACCCTTGTGCTCTGCCATCCCCTGCATCTGTCTTTTTACAGATAAGGCCGCGGTGAGCCGAGAGAGTGGAGGTGAAGGTGGAGGATTGATTATGCACTGATCCAATGGCTGCCAGTCCACAGTCGGAGTCAACTAGCGTAACATTGTCGGGCAATAGCAACATAGTGGAAAGATAGTTTGTTTGTGATCATGCCCGAGAAGCAAATCAGGACAATTAAAGTATTTTTGCTTCATGTTTTTCTGGCTCAAACTGATGTAAAAGTGAGAAGTTTACTCATATGAAGCTGTTCAGTGTACATAGATTCTTTGGCAGTACAAACCGCTCCACAGTGCCAAGTTACAGAAGAACATGTAAATGGGGTGGATTGACTATTGAGACAGACAATATGCAGTTAAATAATGCAGGTAATGCCATGGGATGACATTTTATCAACTGAGCAGTTTGTTTTGTTGGTGGAGAGGGAGATGTGTGACAGGTGTGTGCATGATCAAACCAGGTTTTGTAATAAGTGAAGAACAGCAGGTTTGGGGATAAAGTGGATCTACAGTGTGACATGTTAGATTCTGATAACAAACGCTTCATCTGTCAGAACAGGCACAACAGCAGTGAGCAGGATTTGGAGGAAACCAGTAGATAGAAACAGTGTGTAATATCCAATGTGTTCTTGCCTTTGTGTCTGAGCCTGGTGCAGGTGGTGCACAGCCCCATTCTGTAGGAGGATTAAGAGTTTAAGGTGACTGGCATGTTACGCACACAAGGAACACAAATAGGAAGTTCACCATTCTGTCTAAACCAACTTGTCTTCAACTGTCACAGAGGAGCCATAGTGCCGCAGTCATGATAACTACCACTGCTACTGCCAAGGGATACACTCTTAGTAAGAATTAAGAAATTGTGACAAATACATACTAAAAGGTGAACTGTGCATGTACGTTTTCAGGTTAGGGTCTGTCACATAAAATTCTTACTAGTTTTCCTAGAATGTCAGACAGCATGCTATAAACTTATTTATGTGTTCATTTATACAATAACAGGTGTTTTCAAACTTGAAATACATGGTTTGGTGGAGTCACCTGCTTTCTCCATAAGATTGTCAAAACATTAGAGGTATGCTTATATATACAGTAGAAATGCTAAATTTACATAGTTAGAATAGTAAGTTCTTTCCTAAATCAAATCATCCCCATAATCAAAATATATGAACTAATATAGGCGTATAGTCCCATAGACACTCTGCCAACACATAGCTTTATCCTCATCATCTCCATTGAGTGTCTGACACCCTAATGCATTATGCATTAGGCCTCAGCATGCCCTTGACCAGTGCGATGCAAATTTCACGTACATTACAGATGTAATCCATTATAATGAGCTTAGACTTTATCTACTTGGCCACAGAATACTCAGGGGGACTGGTGCCACTCAGGACAAGATAAATATCATCATCTTGCACTCACAGCTCTTTCTTATAATGTTTGTCAGTCTGCATAAAAGCGGCAACATTACCTGAGCCTATTATGAAAATGACAACACACATCAGAATCCATAACACACTTGAACTATGGCCAGTGATATAACATTCCATTACATGCCTCTGTGTCCTGATTCCTAATGGAATTCATTATCATATATAACCTTGGGATCACAAAATTATGATACTGTTCAGTATGTAATATGAATGGTTAGCATCCCGAGTCTGGCTACCTATAATGTCTGTAGGTGTGTCACGACTGCATGTGTAATAAGATAGGTAACAGACCATCAGGGAAATATAGAAGTAGCAAACATAATGTCACAAAGCGAACATCAAAAATAAGGCAGTAATGTCCACATATATTTCTCAAAGGAGAAAAAGAGCTGTGGAACAACCCCCAATCACATCAAATATTTAAATTTTCTCATCTTAAATCTAGATGTTTATTTCATTGTTGTTCTAAACAAATTGACCAAACATCCCATCATGGGATGACAGTCCCAATGGGCAAAAGTGAACAAAGGCAGAAGTGGTTTCTAATGTGCTTAACATATGTTAAATATTGTTGTGGTGTGTAGTGTGACTCATGAAGCAGACAGGTGCAGTGCATTTCCTCACCTGTGTCCTCATCACAAAGCTGCTCGCAGGGCTCCGTGGTCCTCTGGCCGCAGTAATCCTGCACCCACTGAGTGGATGAGTTGGTCTGGTAGTACAGGGTGAGCTTGGCCGGGTTTAACCAGTTGGAGACATCGAGGAAGCTGCCCACACTCACCACAAAACTACTGCCTGAAAAGTAAAATCACAAAAAAAGAAAAAAAAAACACAAAAAAAACCAAATAAGATTCAAGACAGAAACACGCAGTGTTTAATTTAGATTAATTATTTAGTTCTGAAAAAAGAAAAAGTAAATAAAAAGCTTGTCAGAGATAAACATGGGCATCTCCCACACTGCAGCCCTAATTGCTGAAATGCTTCTTATTGTAGACAAGTGACAGTTTCTTGTTATATAAGTAAAAGGACAAAATGATGTGTATTCCATCTTTCTATTATATTAAAAGACTATCATTTGAAAGCATTGTTGAATATGCATTAAGGTCCAAATTAGACTGAAATTATTATGTAGTGTGGATCACAGCTTTGCTAACAGCTCTCCTCCTCAGCTCACAGTAGAATCAGTCAGACATGATGTTATTCAATGGATTTCACTGTAATAATCCACCTCTGACTGAAGTAAATCTAAATTAAGATATATAATGCATATATTGATGGGGATTTCTTGGGTAATTGGAGTTGAGGGGCTAAAAGGGTTTCACAAGCCGATCCGTAAGTGCCGCGTTCACTGATGCCGACTTACCTCTCTTTCTTTCAGCTCCCAAACCAATCATTAAACTGTGATCACGGAACAAGATTATCCCTAATTGATGCCAATGACTTTTAGTTCCACAGCAAGCGGCAGAGAGATTGGGCACTGGCTCTCTGGTGGACACAAAGCTTTTATACCGCTGCATATATTAGCTATAGTGTTTGTACTGCTAGCTGACAGGTGCAATACATTGGGAAGCAGTATTCAGAATGGTGAAAGAGTTGAGACGATAATAAAGACGGTAACAATGTTGAACGTCTATAAGTAAAATAAATATAGCCTATACATGCTTCAACTATAAAGATTATTTTTACTTGGCAGTTTACAATTGTGAGGTTTAAGAACTCACTGTGACAGGATCATTATAATAAAAGATTTATGGTTCATGTAAAAAATAATGCCAAAGCCAGCCACAAGAGGTCAGTAAATGAATACATTCTGGGACAAATAACTATATTATGAGTTGAATATTCAGTCTTCTTTATTATAAGCACCAAACTACCACCAAAAATGTTATGACTACTTGCATTGCCACAAATGACCACATGTTGCAAACAAAACATAAATAAGGCCTTCTTTGCACCTTACAGCAGAAAACTTTACCACCTACTGTCACTTCACTTTTTTTCATTAAAGTCTGAAAGCACAGACAGAGAAATCTCCAGAAGTCTCCAGATTACCATCGCATCTCCCAAGCCGCTCTTCCTGGTTCCAAAACAGAGCATAACAAGACCATTTAGAGCAGCCCTACAGTGGAGGGAGCACATCTGCCAGTCGGTCTCATTTGGGGAGAAAGCAGGGAAACTGTAATGGCCTCAGCTCTCATAGTGCACAGCCAATTGTTAGATTATGCCGTAGTGTCTCAGAGACCTGTGAAGAAATCCCTCCTCAGCAGAAGGAACATTGCTCTTCGCTGCTAATTTTATTGTGCATATTGTGACTTGTGCACACACATTACTCTGGGTGAGCGTAATATTGTTAGATTCCCCTTTCAGCAGGGAGCACTAGTGGAGGATATGTCAGGAATACAAGGTCTATGTATTCACCACATCACTCCTAAATCAAAGGATTGAAACAAAACTTGTGTTACAGAAATAGGAAACTCAGTTCTTTTGAGCATTTTTTGTAAATTATAAGGAAAAAATAGTTTTAAGTTTGCTTTGTTACTATGCCGGTTTATAGTATAATCCCACATGTTATTAAACTGAAAGATGCTGTGGTGTGTGCTGTGTGTGTACAGACAATGAAGCTACTATCTTCATTAAAATGTAGGTCACATAATTCTCTAAGAATGTATTTTTTCCCAGATTAAATGACTAAGCATATTTTTATGACAAGGTTACATTTGTGTAAGTATGTTCTCTGTCCACATATTATGTATATTCTGTAATGTAAGTACTGTTAATGGCTCCCTTGGCCATATATATATATATATATATATATATATATATATATATATATATATATATATATATAGATTATATATGTGTGTGTGTGTGTGTGTGTATGTGTGTGTGTACGTGTGTGTGTATGTGTGTGTGTATACATATATATATATATTACATTTCAGATTTTGATTTTGCCCGACTGACCAGTTAGTCATGTCAAGTATGTCAATGACTATAGCATAGTTTGATAGCTAAAAAGGTACTAAACGAAAAAAAGTATCCTATAATGTAGCAGTCCACCCAAAGCAGTAGTTGCTTCCAATTGTTCCAGAGTATGTACTTTATAGCAACAACTTTCTTGTTTATACACCACACTTATTTACCCTAAAAGCAAGAGATACCCTTCATTGTCTTTTCTTATATAAAATATTTGTGAATGACTCACTAGGAGCGATGCTAACACAAATTTACTTTCTATCAGTTGCCTTCACTTTGCAGCTGTGTTGACCAAGCATGCTCTGGTTATCCCTCCTGACAGCCTGTCTCCTTACCACAAAGACAGAGAATTACATTCCACCACACAGCTGTCTTATGAATTCTTGCACCCACCACAAAGCTAGCACCAAAGTTATCTCATCTTGTTGTTAACGTTGTGTTGCATTTGTTGGCCCAGAAACTCTTTGTTTTTGCCTACATGCCAGTTAGTGCTGTGACCACCCTTATAGCAGCTCCACAACGCTTGCCAGTTTGGATTTTGCGATTTTGTTTGTTTGTTGGATATTTGTTTGTTTGCGGTGACTGGCTGCTCACTGCTGAACCGCGCGCCTGCCAGACACTGGGTTAAGCCGCCTTTTGTCACATGCTGTGCTTCAGGTGTCCACGCTCCTCCTCACTCTCATTCGGCACGTATACATGTCACCCAGCTTAGAAGGAGAATGACACAAACAGAAAAAAGTCCAAAGGATTTGACAGTGTTTTTTGCACACTTGATCCAACACAGAAACAAAGTGAAGTAGACACTAGAATACATTCTGTTACTAAGTGTGGGTTTTCATTACAAATATAAGAAAATGATGAATGAAAAACTGTGCAGTGGTAGTACAGATAAAATTTCAATAAATAAGTTAAGTAAAGTCAGTCCATACATAAATGGTTCTCACTTGTAATAGTACTGCTAGAGGAGGTCTGAAATTGTGTTACTTCTAGTTCCGGGATGAATGCTGAATTCATTGGGCCGCAAAGTCTTTACACATCCCACTAAACAAAAATCTATTTAATGTATTTTTCTATAGCTCAAAATCCAAAATGCAGTACCTCACAAGGCTTCACAAAAATGTGAGGCAGCCTGAAAATCGAACAATGAAACAGACAATAAAAGACAAACAGATTAACCACCGTTCACAGCAAATAGATATCTGTCCCTGAGCATTCCCTATATTTACCCTCCTTCTCGGGAGCCACAGTGAAGGGGAGATCCATGGGCAGACAGGCTTCGTCCTTTCTGGTTATGTTTTTTTCTTCAACTTGTATGACTTGTTCACAATCTTTATCTGGTCTATAAAGAAAAACTTTTGACCAAGTATGCAATTAAATCCATAAATTTAAATTACTCTAATTGTTACATAATGAATACTTTGATTGTTCTGTTGATAAAAAGGTTCTTAAAATTGTAACCCAGATACTAATCAATACTAAAACTAATATCAAAACTGGATAATAAATTAAGGAGGTATCAATACTATGCTCTTTTTTAGAACTGGTATAACCACATGGTAAAATTAAATAATTGTCTGTTGTTACTCACTGGTTAAAATTGCCTTATATTGAATACAGTATAATTTTGAGACAGTTATTCATTGTAGTATCAAAATTTGTAGCAAGAGTTGTCAAGTCACCGATGTCAACACTAGCTGCTAAGGTGAACATCAATGCAAGCCTGACCAAGAAATGCATTAGGTGTATTTATTCTAATTTAAGAAGTGATAGGTTAAGCACAGGTATAATGTAATAGCACATCTTTAATTGCTGCTGGTAGAAAGTGGTAGGAGTTTGACATTTAACACCTGATGCACTTTAGATAAATGCGCTGACTCCATCCTAACACCTTGCCACAGACTATAATATGAGCTGTGTACTTCTTTGCTACAGTGCACAGTAAATCGCAGATGCGTGGGTGGACTAAAAATGAGGCCCCGGTGGCAAGTGCACCTGATGGAGGGATATGTGAGAGCACAGCTTTTAGAGATATAGCAATCATTAGTTAAATTGCCTCCGCTCTTTAGACCCTGTTGCTAGACTTAACTCTTTCTCTATTATGTGTGTGCAGAGCTACATTTTCCGCCATCATCCATCTTGGGTGTTTATACAAGAATATCTTACTTCAGCAATAGGATAATAAGGGGTCTAAAGCTGGAATGTGATTGACTACTAATGTGTTGAGTTAAAGTTGTGTAATAATAGCCCTTTTAGAAATGGTAATAATATGATAAAAAAAAAAAAAAAAAGTGCCTTATGAAAATTTTAAAACTCAATTTGGCCAAAAAAGAAAAAAAAAAAAAAAAAAAAGATTTAGGCACTTATTTTGAGGCTGGTATGTTAACCCAAATGGGAGATTTGGGGTATTTTTGATGTAATACAATTACATTTGAGCTGAATAATTTACTACTATGGTACTATGGCTACTTACTGACAGATAATAGTCCATTCTGTTATGTATTTGTTGCAGCTCATTCCTTTAATTGCTACTTTGTGTTTTAAAATGGTTTACTCCATTATCTTGCATTTTTGTTATTGTATCAGAGGCATAAAGTTTTGCAGTATTCATCACAGTATATCTCTGCCAATATATCATGCTTCAGAATTTGTTATCATGAAAGAAATTGGTAGTGGTAGTAAAAATTGTACTAGAAAACTTTATGTGCAGTTATTTTATTGCTTTTGGCTTGGCATGGATACAGATTATTACTTTGAAGATATTTTTTTATTGTGTCTATTGTGTCTAAAAAATCTGTAAATGCAACAAATACAACTAAATGTTGCAAACTAGCAGATTTGTCAACAGTGGGAGGGCTCAAATGACCTTATATAAATCAAAATTTCCCTTAAGCCTTTCAGTATGGGTGCTGACTCACACACATCCTTACACATCTTATATATGCTGCTGTCTATTTTTATTCTTTTTTTTTCTCCAATGTGTCTCCTTCCTACATCTGTCTGGAAGAGGTTGCTGATGATATTGAATTCCATTGTAATTGAAAACCACAAATCATTCTTGTGGTGGGAGTAGGGCATTACGCTGTATAGTGGTGTGTCTGACTGGGACAAAACACTACCCTGATCCAATAGCTGATCCTATGCTGTGACAACAAAAGCAATAGGGATTACATAACACTTCATTACACAGAGGAACATACATCCACTTTACTGAGTAGTACAACAGATGTAACCAGCTCAATGGAATAGTGGCCATATACTGACAACCTTACAATAGCCATTACAATTCAGAAATGCAACCAAGAGCATGGCTATTTTCTACTGAAGTAGGCTTAAAAACTAACAAAAACACATAAATGAATAAATATAGGGGAAACAATCGGACCAATAGTTTATTTAACAGGGAGTAAGTACACTAGTTCCTATTGCAAATGAGAAAGAGTAAACTAGTTTCAATATTGTCAGACACTATAAATGTTGAAAGATAATGTAAAGATACAAGACTGCAGACTATTTAATTTCTAAGCTTTTATGACAATAGCAGTAATCCTTGCAGTCAAAGTCATTGTCAGTCAGTGCCTTTACATTTATATAGTCAGCTCTATTGGAGGTAGTAGTATTAGCAGTAGTAACAGTAACCATAGCTAGCTGTTGCTAATGCTAATGCTAACGTTTTAGCATTATTTCTTGTTACTTCTCTGTTGGAGGGTTCGCCACCTACCTGCCTTGATGGATTATTGCTTTAGATTAAATGCTCCACAGTACGGCATTAAACATATCTACCAATCATTTTATAAGAGGTGTTTTATTGTTCAAAACTGACATTCTTAATGTGTGTTGGGTCGCTCCTCCACACTTGCCTGGTATTGTCACTTCCATACTGTGGTTCATTATAGGCAAAACAATATGATCTTGATGGACACAAAGAGACAGCATACACTGCACCAGAAAAGTTACATAGTGCACCTTTAAAACATTTAAATGGATAAAATATGAGAACGTCATCCACCTCAGATTAACTCAAAAGATAAAATGACAATGATATATAGTGTTAGATAGTTTCAAGGTCTAACAAATGCGCTGGACTTACCATCTGCGACAAAGTGCTCGGGCACATGCAGGGTGACTTTGACGGTGAGGGGGCACGAGTCCTGTGTGGCGTACACAATGGCACTGACACATGTGCTGATGGTGATCAATGTCAGAGTCACCTTATTCAGAGGGCTGTGGGGGGGTCCTGCACACAGACAAGAGGCAGAGGTGAGACCCTGGGGTGAGCCTGTTTGTCAACTAACTGAAACAACAGACTGTAATGTACGAAGTGTTTACCACTAATAGTGACAAAGTGCTCCCCATAGTCACATTTTTGTCCTATAGTCAAAAAAGAATCTGAACAAAAGGCAACAATTGTTTACTGCTTGTAGTATTGCCATACAATTTGAATTGTAACCAGTAGTTTTTTGATCATTAAAGGCAAAAAGCAAGAATAATGATTGACCCGATACACATATATATTGATTACCAAACAATATGTGATATTTTTATGAATTGTAATTAATACTATTATTCAAATACAAGTGGCTTGTGCCCCCATGGGAAACACGGAGTACATAAACATTGTACAGATTTGAAACTAGTCATTTAGTATAGAAGTACACAATAGAGTGCTTCCACTTTCAGATGGGATTAAATGAAACAGAATACAAAGGTTTAGGAGAGCAGAATGCAGCGTGGACAGGGTTATAGATTAGCTGTTCCGATTTGCCCTTTGGCTATGTCAGGACCTCACTCTTCAAGGCAGCACAGAAGGAAATTAGCATTTAGTCTTCAGTTACTTAGGAAAGGTTAAATGTAGACTCTTCAACAAATATTGTTTTAGAAGTCTACGGGTGATAATTGGTTAATTGATTAATTTCCATAATGGACTTAAGTGGTTAAAATATAATTATGCTGTGGTATAGAGAAGAAAAGACATACTATAATTTGTGAATCTACAAAATGAAGGATAATTTAATACCAGTTCTCTAAAACACAGAAGCCTATAACTTTCTTAGCAATACCATCTTTTACAATACGCCATGTAAAATGTAATGTACAATGGCACACACAATGCCAAATGATAATTATTTGATCATGACATGGCCAATTAATCAGTTCATAACATGAAACAGAATGTGTATTCATAGTTTATAGTCTTTTTTGCTCATTATGCTCAAATAAATAAGTCCAGCCACTGAGGTCTTCAAGTGAGTAATTGTTGGGGACTGCATCACGAAGAGCATTTAGCATAAAGTAAACAACATAAATTCTATAATTAAAATCACTTCACACTATATGGCAAATTGGAGATTGTTTGGTGTGTTTATCTCATTAAAGGGATGGTTTAAAAACCAAGGAGAACACAAAGACTTAGTAAAAGTCCGACCTCTCCAGCTGCTTATTCCCAATGGACTTGGACGCTGGAGTGGGACATCGCTGTCGGCAGCACAAACCACAGAGCAGATAATCCTGTTGGGATGTGGGTGTCTTAGCTGCACTTGTGATACAGGGCCACTCAATTATTTTAAAAGCTCACTGAGTAGACAAAGACATGAATGCTCACGCAAACTCTTAAAGGGTATATGTGGATACAAGCACAATACCCTTGTTCCTCTCAGGATTCACAGGGAAACTCCAGTGCTGAGCACAGTCTCAAACAAAATCTTGTTGTAAGTTGACACATACACCATGTTTTAGTTTCCGGGCATTTCAACATTCATTTTGAGATCTGCGCAGCTCACAATTTCGTTGGATCATTGATTTAACCTGAATTCAATAATATGTGGATATTAATTGGATTTAACAAATACTATATATGTTATCACTTTTTCAGCCAAATTTAATTTAAAATTGTCTGATGCGGAGACAATGTTTTTGGCACTAAGGCTCAATAGCATAGCAACACAGAAATATTCAAAGATGTTGAAATCAATCGAAATACAACTCTGAGTAAGCTTAAGATGAGGGAACACTATTATAATATGGTTAAAAACTCAGATACAATGTAATGACTTACAGTTGTGGGAAGAACTTGTTTACTGAGGTTACATCTCTAGATATTTACACCAAGTTTAGTAATACACATTATGTCCCGTTCTTCGTATATTGATGTGCGTGTCTATCACATATGACCATGTGGGGAAGAGGTGAAATCATGTTTCCCATCCAAGTTCTTTGACTCATCAGCAGCCCTGTGCTTACCTCAGCTCATATATCTGCTGTGTGTCCCTGATCACACAAGTGCATACACCATACACCAGCACTTTACAGGCCCACCGGGATGCGCATGCTCCTTCCAACTTCCTGCTATGCTGACAATCCCACAAATGTTCGCCCCATTTCACACAGCACCGGGAGCACCTCTCCCCTACTCTGCCGCATATTCATAATGTTAGAATAAATGTGTTTTAACATAATTCTTTGTTTAGTGTCTCGTTATTCCCAGCATGGGGTAAAAGCCTCATTAGGCAGGTCCAAATGTTAACAGCATGTTTATCATAATGTAATGGCCTGATGGGTTACCTTTGCTACGTCTTCGCCCTCGGTGCTGCTCTGTGTAGAACTTCATCTGGTTGTCATCTTCTGGCTCTGACCCAGACTCTCCTTGTGGACCGAACACACCTCCAACTGTGAATAAGATCAAATACAAATAAACAAGATTTGCGTTTTATTTCCTGTTTATAAACAGGAAAAAAAAAATCAAGTTATCTGTCTATGGCTATTTAGACATTTTGGTGCAGTGGGATGGAAACTCGTTGATGATACCAGTAATAATGGTGGCAGTTCTGAACACTTTGCATCAGTAGTTTCCATCTGTCGGATTCTAGGTAAGGTTTTGTAGAAGCTGGCATACATGCACATACCGGTACTTGTGTTTTTACCATTGAAAGGAAAACATATATGGACTTAGTAACATGCAAACTGCACCATTAGATAATATAATTTTTACTTGCTTTGTTTACTTATCCTTACATGTCTGATCCCCCATGTCTGATGTCAAGTCAAGAATACATGTGATAATACCTTGAAATAATAAAATGCAGATTGGACAACAATTCATTGTTTGTTGGATCCATACATACATTTCTATTTTTATCGTACACATAGGAGAACATAAATAATTACATTTGAGATGTACAGTAGCAATGCAACTAAAAGCAATGTTGTATAGTTTAGGAAAAGCTGAGGCAAACTTGATGTTGAGATACAAGTAGGGATAGGATTAGACATGAGTACATCACAGCATTGCTGGTTTTCTGCGATGTTTTGGAGATTAGAGGCCAGTTGTGATGGTTAAGAAATGTACAGAGTGAATATGAGGAGTCAGAATAGGATATAACAGTCAGGTAAAAGGTTAAGGTTGTGAGGAAGCAGACGATTTGCATGTCATGAACTCTAAAATGGAACAAATGAATAATGGGGAAAATGTCAAAGCAGCTGCAGTAATCCAAAGTAATCGCAATAATGAGTCTAGAAATAAAAGACAGAATTATATTGTTAAACGTGAGGTCTTGTAACATACACGCCACCATAAACTGAAAGTAAATTCTGAAAAGGCCATGTAAGACACAATCTTCCATTAAGCAGTTCATAAATAACATAACCCGGTCTCATAAAGTTATCAGTGCACTATAAAGATTTGGGTCATGATTAAAAGTCCTATTAACTCAGCATATAAAATAGAGTTGGAAAAGCTGTAGTTGCTCTCTTGGTCTGGTGCACTTAAACACGTTGAGAGTGCAGTTGGCTTCGGAGTGGGAGAGTCTGGCACTATTCGAGGAAGTGTGGCCAAGGCAATGCAGTGTAAAATTGCTTCCGAATTTATGCATCATGCTAGAACTTGCTTTAAAACATGAAGGACGAGAAGAGAAAACAGGAGGGAGGACACTCAAGGGTAAACCTAATTTAAATAGTTCGAAAATAGGAATTGTGACCTTTATTTTGTATACAAGTATAGCTACAAAAACTCAAAGATCATGCTTGAGCAGGGTAGCTGACGGGGGGGAACAAAGAGATCGATGGGGGGGGGGTTGTACTTGAGTATACATATTTTGCTTCATCAGTTCCTCATATTGTTTGATCACAGTGTTTGATTACATTTTATTTTGTCTTACTAAAAGCTAATAAAAATGTCTTTCATATTTATTTCCTGAACATAAACAATACTTTTAATTAGAGCCATTTAGTTTAACCGTCAAATCTCTTCCCATTTGAACTCAGCTCCAACCTTTACTGATGAAGGATTGGCTGTAGACCTAAAGACAAAAGCATATCATTGATCCTTTATTGACCGTCAGCATTTTTAAATCCATGGCAAGGCCCACAGATTGAAGTAAAGGTTTGGACAAGTTCACAAATGTACTTTTCACATTTGTATTGCTCTTCCATTTCCACTAGACATAAAACCTCAAGTTAATATATTAGGATATTTCTACCAGTGCCGGTGTATGAAAGCATTCCCCAATATATCACACTTTGATCTATATTGGCAATGCCTTTGAGGAAAATGTAGGTTGCAGCTTCAGATGTGGGTTAAAATGAGCACAATGTAAACAAATTAATGTGTTGCCATGTTGACGCATTTTCACATCTGGGCATAAAGTGCTTCACATTTAAATTATGAAAGCATTTGGAGGTCTCACAGAGGCACATCATAAAACAATTAACCTCGAACTGTGAAGCCATTTTGTATTTTTTAAGCTTGCCATATCAGCTAATGGAAGCCTGAGGTCTTTGTACTGAATTCAGATAAGACCATCAAAACACACTTGCGTTTTTACTTTTCTCTTCCCCCTGAGGACTTTGCCGGTGATTTTGTTTAGTTAGATCATCCTTGAGAACTTAAGACATTCTTGAACTGTCTTGAACTTGAACTTGAAATAAACAGTCATCACACATCAATAACAACTTCATGGTACTGTGCATCTGTCTGCGGCAGAATGGGCTCATAGAGTGGAAATGCCCCAATGTTTGTGGATGTATAATATAAATGTCTCCATCCAAAGGTCAGCCTTGATTGATCTACACAACGGAGCTGAGAAACTCTTGTTATTAATCACATCGCTTGGCAGGAAGTCAACAGATCACGCTCCTTGTTCTTTTCCAATAGCTTGTGTTTGATGCACGACAATGGCCAACTGCTTAAAAATAACATAGTGTGCCATTGACCTTTTCAGTTACATAAAATTATACTGTTAAATATAGGCTCAGTTCCCCTACGTTTTAGTAATGATAAAACACAAATACAATAATGAGGATTACACAAAAAGACCTGATTTGATGTTGTAATTTGTCAAAAGTGTCCTTTCATACAATCTTCTATGTGCAGCTCTAAACTGAACATGAAATGACAGAATGCTTGTACAATTATATAATTTTATTTAGTTGACAATGTTCTTGTTAAAATTAGGGCAACACAATTTAACACAATTAATTCAAAATTGCAAATGAGTTGGCCCAATTATCAAATCTCAAAGGCTGTAATTATTTAAAGCAGGGGTGTCCAACCCAGGCAAACTAGAGGGCCATAGATTGGTGGTCAACAAAGTGAATAAATCAAATATATACATTTATACCAGCTTTAAATGAGCCATACCACCAAACCATGCTTTGATCCTCAGGGTACACTGAATATTTGATATTTGCTTTGTCAAGGTATCAAGGAAAGTACTGCTTAAGGTAATATGGGCCAATTTACCTGAGGGCCAAGAAAAATTTGTCTGAGGCTCCACATTTGCCCTGGAGGCCATAATTTGAGCATGTATGATTTAAATAATAGAATGCCAATTATAGAAAATAATATTGTTCTACCTGTACCTTGAACTTCAACAAACAAGTTTTGAAAGTCATGTGATTCTTGTTTTAGTTGATCAGTTCATATTTCAGTTGTGCACTTGTGCACTTAGAATCCTACTTAAACATGTATCACAAATCAAATGGCAATCACAAAACATGCCCAAGATTTGTGCATCCCTAATGTAAAACAATGCTAGTGTCTTAACAAGCTATCATAGGCATGAGAAACCTTCAACACCATGGCATACTCTTAAATTTAAATATGTTTGGCTTATAATAAGTGTAAAATAAGAAGTAAAAAAGAAAAAAAGGATCATATCATAACATTGAACATTCAGCTGCTCAGAATGATTCACATAAGGTATTGTCAAAGGAAAACACTAAGTGTAAGAAAAGGCACAGTTAACCTGCATGATAGGAGAGATGTTAAAACACGGGCAAAGACTACTCCTGATAATGTGGGGCTGCCCTGTGGGTTCTAAGGACACAAAGATGTCAAGATTCGAGTTGGAAAGTTGAAATAAAATCTATTCTTCACTACCGAGAGAAGCCAGGCAACAAGATATTGAGCTCAGAACAAACAAAAGACACTGTACATAACACATATAGATGTATTTATAGAATTGGTTGGAAGCTTACCCTTGATAACCCTGTGTTCACATAAGGACAGCGTGCATGCCCTCACTGCAAAAACGTCCTTTATTTCAGAAGGTTAGCTCAAAAATAGTGGCAAAAGCACACCCATTCATCATCTTTTGCTTATTAGGTGTGGTTGGAGGCTAAAGTCGTGCAACTATGGCCTATGGCTTGTAACAATTTAGAGGCAGCATTTTACCTAGACATGTTTTCATATGCTGAGAGAAAGCAGAAGGGCTAGCCAATTCATTTTACTAACACCGGTTTGATGGATAAATCCGTAAAACTTTAAATGGCAAAAGTTGTTGGAAGAATAATGGACAATTTGGTCACAAAATGCAAAGTAATTATGAAGACTGAGCATTAGGCACAGTGGATTAGCAGCTCAATGGAAACCGAAATCAATTTAAACTCTTCACGACCACCAGCCGTGTTGTTTTAATATATTGAATGATTCCAATGCCGCCTGTCAAGTCATGATTCCTAAATGTTATTGTAGTTGTTTTATTTAAAATCATGAGGATCATACACAGAAAATCACAAATCAACTGAAAAATGTACAAATATGCAAATCTGGTGAAACTGGTGACTGGTGGGCTTATGCCAATTTGTTGCTTTTTTGGTTGTGTGTCCATTCCTGTTAAGCTCCAGTATTCCGTATAATATTGAACATACTGGCATAATATGTGTGAATGAACTCATGCATATTATCTATCAGTAACTTGCCTCCTTCCAGTCAATTTTGCTTACCTGTGAGTCTTACTGACAGAAATTGCAAACATTATTATCTATATTCTCTGGGTGCTGGTTCCTTCCTGAGCGTGGCTCCTTGAATTTCTATGCTCTGTCTTTCTTTTGGTCTTCTCTCTGCATTGCGCCCACAGATCATTTTAGGTTTATTAAATTTCATATTTGAAGTTTAAAACAATCAAGCTATTACAATAAATTCACCATCTTTTTTTTATTGCCCTAGCTGTTTCAACTTATATAATTGAATAGACACAGTCATTCTTAAATAATAATAATAAAAAAACTTTCATAGCACTGAAGTTTCACAGTTTTTTCCACACTTCTAAACTAATATTTCACTGCACATGCTGAGTGCAAAACTTTCTTATTGATTTTTCTTTTGGTTTCCTGACTTGCATAATAAGAACTGGGTCCACTGTAGAGAGAGGAATGAAAAAGTGAAGAAGGCATATGCTGTTATTTACTCACACGCCATAGAGAGAACAGCAGTACATGCCATTACTGATTTATTTTACCACAATGATTTTACTTCGCTTAAATGAGTAACTAACATACATTTCTCTGCCTTCATGAATAGCTAAGCAGATGTACATTGCTGCTGGATATGAGGCCTTGTCTGTAATCTCTAACCTGCTGATCCTGCTATAGAACACTGACAAAAAAGGGTAATCAATAGAGAATTTGCTG